AAAAAAATTGTGTCTCCCTTAATTCCTGCACAAGAACGATGTGATCTAATTAAGACTTAGGAGGGAAATAAGCTTGGCATTTATTTGCATGGTTTCCTACTCTCTGGCCATTTCTGTTTCTATCCAAGATGCAAAGATAAAACTTTTTAGCTTCACCAAACTTAAGCTTTTTCACACACATGTAGCTTTCTACTACACAAGTAAAGCTACACAGGCTTTAAAACAGGCAGGTGGAACTGCTGGCTTTGTACACAACTGCTCAAACAGTCACTCATCTAAGCTTTAGGTTGCACATTCAGTGTAAAGTTGTCTGCACACAAACATCAGCAGATGGTAACTACACTCTGTATGGCTCAAGTGGTGCCAGCTGGAGCAATTACACAGCTGTCGACCCAGGACCACAGATCCATCTCAGCAGCTCCTGAGATGCTGAGGATATTGCAAGCAAAAGGCACTTGGCTGGTACCTCCACAATCCGATCTCCCGTTTTTAGTGTTCCATTTTTGCCAGCTGGGCTATCTTCCAGGATGTGCTTGATAAAGATCCCTCTCATCACTTCTCCGTTACTCAGGCGGCTCCCCATCCCTCGTCCTCCGACAATGCTGATCCCCAGTGACTTGCTGGGTTCTCTCCAGAGTTCAACCCTGTTGTGACAAAATAAGGACCAAAATAAAAGAAAATCTGTTGTGATTACGACAATGCTGCACACTGAAGACACCTCCATTTGCACAATGGTTTAGAAACATTCAGAAATAAGTCCTCCTTGGAAAGTTTTGTCAGAAGTTATCTAATGAATTGCTCAGAGTCTGTAATTGTGTCTACTGTTGTTCACTTTATTTGGGAAGTCTAATGAAAACTTTGAACCTTTCTCTTCATCCCTTCTTGCTGTCTCTCAGAGAGTCAGCCTATAAAGATAAATTACTAGCACAGTCAAGAAACTGCTAGATTATACGGATTTAGCCCAATAGCAGTAAAAAACAACAGTGAATTACTCCTGCAATCCATAATATACCTAAGTGCAGCAATTCTTTTATTTTCTTATTCCTCTTACAATATCTTACAGGTTTCAATTTTGTTTAATTTCAGATGAGATTTTATACTGTGCAACTAGATCTGCACTTACTTTCTGGGCTGGTTCCAGTTACTGAAAGCTGCATTTTGAAGTTCACTTTCTTCTCCCTCCCCCTCTTCACGTTCTGGAAGCTCTGGGAGTTCCCTGCTGACGAACAGGAACATGAGGTTACTTTTGAAGAATCCGCATAATACCTAGAATTCACTGCAAAATTTTATGTATTGGATCACTCTGCCAGCATCAGAATTGGGACACAGAATTTGTGTAAGAAACTTCTTTTTCACATGTCTAGTAGAATACACGTTGTGTTTGGGGATTCCCTGTCCACTGGTCCCTGCAATTAAGTTGATACCAACTGACAACCACACAATAAAAAACTGCATTTCAGAACTAGAATCGAATCAAAGCTGAAGGCAATTACTTATTGTTTCCAAAATGGAAGAAATTACAACAGTAGCATTCAAAATCAGTTACTGTTTTTGGAGTTTTATTTCCAGAAAACAAAAACTATTAGTCACTTTGAATATTTTGGCCTATAACAGTAAAGACTTTTTGAAACTCAAGGAAAAGAACACCACAATTTATTCTTTTCAGTGTAAGTTCTGGAAAGACCATCAATGCCAAATTCTCATGTTGGAAGCACTAAGTATTTGTGGCGCTACACAAATCAAATTGCATGAGTTTAGGATGAGGCAATATTCTGTCTCCTTTTTGGGCAGATCAAACACCTATAAAACAGCCATGTGAAAATGTCAGAAAAACTTGCTAGACAGAGCAAAAATTGTACTCTGAGCAGCTTTTTATTGTAATTGCTGCTGGTCTGAAGAAAACGATCCATCTTTCATCTCCTCTGAAATAAAACTTATCTTTCTGAACTGCACTAAGTGTATGGAAAGAGTTACATCTGAGAGCCCTACAGAAGAAAACGTAAGTCTTCTGACTCACCTGACAGTATGTGAAGAAAAAAGTTCAAGTGGCACAGCTCCCTCTGTCTGTTGTCCCAAACTGGCCCTGTACTCGTCTAAATTTTCTGCTGGCACATATGTAATACTGCAATAAAACGGGACACGATTAAAGTAGCATGAGGACTGCTGGTCCTACCTTTGGTGGATGTGAGGAATGGATATGAGGAAGCCACTCAAGACTAATTCATATAGTCACTGACTTCAAACCCACAACGCTGGTATGTTGGGAATAAGGAGTTATATGAATCCTTTGTGACTTCGAAAGAAATATGTCAAGTTAGGTCAAGTTAGGTCGCTGAAGAGCACATAACTTTCCCCTCCATTTTAAGTAAATGGTGTCTGAACAGTGACAAAACTGTAACAGAGACAAGCCAGCTCCAGTCAAAACAGAGATTCCTTGTGCAAAGACAAACACTGAAGGATCTGTGAGGTGTGAAGCACTATTACTAACCTAAATGCTGGCTGAAAATGCTTCTGGAAGTTGGCTTGCAGGAGGATTTGTGCTTTCCTGGGCGGTTTGGTATCTGTTTTAGGTTTCTACACTTTTGATGAAAAATACTGCATGGGTTTGGACATAGAAGCATGTTACAGCCCACCACCCATGCTGCAGGGAGCAATCCCCTGTTCAACTCCTTCCTCCACTCCTTCCTCCACTTCCAGCCAGCTTGGGACAGTCAGACAGTCATGCTTCACCAGTCAAATGACATGCAGACTCCTGAAGCCCTGGTGTAACCCGCTCTTGTTTGAATGCCAAAACCAGAAATGGCCCAAAAGATCGGGCAGGGCAAAATAATGACAAAAAAAAAAAGATTAAGACATGAAGAACATTTCTTAAAAAACTTGCCTCTACACGCAAAAAGGACACCATGATCTAAACAGGGCTACTTAGATGTCCCTCAACAATGCTTTGTCTTCTTAAAAACCTTTAGCTGTTTGATAAGCAGCTTAGCTACCAGATCAAAGTCTGCCAAGAGGTAAGGTTGATGGAAAAGAACTCAAAAAAAATGTCTGTCTTCCCATCCATCACAATGTTAAAAGAAATACGAACATACTCCCTCACAGAAAAAACAAAAAAAAAAAACCCAAAACACTCTTGACCACTTCACAAGGACGCGTAAGCTGCTGAGAAGAGAATCCTTCAGCTCTGAGTCTCTCACTTACTTGGAGTCCTCTTCTGTCTGTCACTCCCTGACTGCCACTGATTCCCCCTCTCCTTGGTTTTCTGCTGAATACCGCGAGCGGCAGAAGGCAGAGCAAATAAACTTTCTTATGACTTAATGCTGCCTGTCCTAAACATTCTAACAAAATTATCCTAAGGAACATCTTTCTTTGTCATCTTTGTCCGTGCCCAAACATGTTCTCTACCTCCTCTCACATCTACTACATCTAGAAAAGCGCAGAAGATGGTCATTAAGGAAGTGTCTAGTGTGCTGAATAGAAGGATCTCTCCAGTTCTTTTAATGGAAATTTCTAAATCATCCATATTATCACCAGCTTCTTTTTCTTAATCTCCTCCTGCTTCTGCTTTGGCCTTTTTTCAAACACACAAGTGGTATGTGCTTGACGCAAAGCGGCTTTATTCTGAAGTGCTGGGGAGTTCACATACACTAGGGGACAAGTACTCAGCCGAAGTCCATCAGGACCAGGGAAGTGATTGTCCTCCTGTACTCAGCACTGGTGAGGACACACCTCGAACACTGTGTTCAGTTTTGGGCCCATCGCTACAAGAAAGACATTGAGTTGCTGGAGCGTGTCCAAAGAAGAGCAACAAAGTTGGTGAAGGGTCTAGAGCACAAGTCCCTGAGCACCACTGTAGACGTGGTGCTCAGGGACATGGTTTAGTGGTGGACTTGGCAGTGTTAGCTTTGCAGTTGGACTTGATGATCTTCAAAATCTCTTCCAATCTAAACTATTCTATCATTCTATGACGCCTATCTGTCTCTCCTGATGGCATTCCAGCATTGGGAAACACGCAAGACACACAGCAGTTACTCTGTGAAGCCCTACCAGTGAAACGGAGAGAAGCAAGAGGAAATAAAGTTTTTGAAAATAATCACTATTACTTCTCAGCCATCTCCAACTCCAAATGCACTGAACTATACCAAAGCGTCAGTATTATGGTCACAAAACTCTCACCAGGCAAATGCTGCTGCTGAAGCATCACCCAGTAAGTTCATAAGAATATCTTGCCTCTACAAAAGCTATGAGATGTGCAAGCTGCATTTCAGTGAAAGAAAATCTGTCATTTGTCCAGTTACATACATCAGTTTCATCCCAAGCAAATTCATCAATTTTCATCCTATAAAAATAAGGAGGAAATAATGTATTTTCCCTTGAAAGACAGCTGCAGCAAAGAAACCAGAACTGCAAGTCACATTTCTGCTGGCTAGAAGACTTAGACAACCTCCTTTATGCTGAACTCCATCTGGAAGCTATTGTTCAAAGTATGGAAAGGAGAAGAGCAGGCTCCTAAAAACGAAACAGATATGCCCAGATTCAGCCTGGATGTAGACACTAGGGTGTCGGGTAAGGGGGAGGTAAACCATATGCACTCCAACTTCTGGGGTACCCTGTTGTTTTTTTGTGATATGAATGAACCACTGACATTGTGCTGGGACATTCAAAAGGCACAGCTCAAAGGATGCTCTCAATCAGCCTTATATGCTACTTACAAACATCTCCCAAAAGCTCTCTCAAGTAGGTAAGCTTCCCTTTCTGTGCAGAGCACATGAACAGAAGAAAAGAGGTTCACTCCACCATTTTAAAAAATGCGTCTAAAATTAAGCAACTGAATTACCTAATTGATTTCCACAGATGGAGTCAAATTTAGATGGTATCACTGGGAGCTGTTACATTTTAGCTCTTCGGAAAATTCCACCATTTCTACTCTAGCGCTTAACCACAGTTCTAATTGCCTAATTTTAAGCACTCTAAGGAACATTCAATATGTTTTTAACTGTTCATTCTCAACTACAGCTAAACTTCAGCTACCTCATAAATATAAACTAGGACATTTACTTGCATTTTGCAAAAAACAGCATAGAAAAAACTAAATTACATTGATCAAATGCATGAAAAAGTATATTCTGTGTAGGAGTTCATCTTTGTTTCTTGATCGCAATTTCCTAAGCTCAGTTAACTGCAAAGGTTTCCCTAGCTACTCTTATTAGCTAAACTGTATTACTGATATGACTGTTGTCCTCCTCTCTCTCCTTGGCGTGTTATTATTGAAAGGAAAAGTTACATAAAAACCCTAGCTCTGCTGAAAATTAGAGTTTTAGGAAATATGTGTAGCAGGAAGTCGTCTTTGCTAAGTAGCTGTCTGTCCTGCTGCTGCCTTCTGTGAAACACAGCAAGGTCAGATTGTACTGAAGACCTTGGATTTCTATCTGCCAAAAATTTTTTCCCTGTTGAGTATTTCATAGGCAGACACCCCACAGTTATCAAATCCATCACTTGCTGAGTCGCTACTGGAGCTCACTTCTTGGAGGTCACGGTGAAGTCTGAAGACATCCAGCATCATCCTGAACAGCTCAGCGTGTGACTGGGGTGATGAGGAGCCCAGAACAAGAGTGGTGTTGAGCTCCTCTGGTCAACTCTGTTGACCCTTCTGCTGTAAAGTGGAAACAAAAATCCAACCAGGCACCTGACTGGTTCACCTGCAAAAAGGTCTGGTAACTGCCTTAATATGGTCACAGGGATGAGAGTAAGAGAAGCACATGCCAGGAAATAGGGATGAAGACACCGAAAACAGGAAACAAGTAAATGTCTGCCCTGCTATTGTGTTTCATTTCTTATCTGCAAGAGAAGTTCAATAATTTCAAAGGAAAGTGTATGTGGAGTTTTATCATTTCCTCTCTTTCATAGCTGTACAGCTTGAAGGAGAAAGTATTCCAGTTTCCTTTCTTGAGAGCTAGAACAACCCTCCCCCCCCAGAGATAGGCACCAGCAATGAAAGCAGTGACAATGGAAACACCAAAGGGTGTACATATGAAAATATCCTGTAAACACAACACCACATGCAGTACAGAGGAACATTTATCACATGCTTGACTGAACAGCCACACAAAACCCTGAAACACCAACAAACCAAGTAAAATGGAAACGTATGGAAAACGTTGAGGACAAATTACTGTCATAACATTAAGGTTGAATTTGAACCTTTTTATACACAAAGGAAGTAAAATGTAAGTGCCACAGAAAATATGACACTGAGATTAATCCAGATATCAGTACATCGTACTCATGCCAATTCTAGCAGTGAACTCTGTACACACACACACACACACACACACACGTGCTCTGAGCACGTCTGGAGTGGCTGTCACAGATGAAATTTAAAAATATTACCAAAAACTTTTTTAGAATACCAATGTTTTCATTCCAGTCTTAGGAAGTATGCTCCCACCTTCAAGTTTAAAGCCATATATATATATATACAAACACTCATACCTTTAAAAAAAAAAAAATACATATCCACATGTGCAGCCACATGTGCATGCACACGCACACACACAAAGAGAGAGGGAATATGTACCTATATCTGGATATATCCCTGACATTACTATGGATGTCATAAAAGCATGGAATGATTTTACAGACAAGTTGCAACATAGAGCCATAATGAGTTTCTGAATCGCCAATACTCACACATAAAAGAGGGCCTGATCATCAGCAGGTGCTGGAGAAGATCTAGAATGTGAAGCATATGATGCAGCATCTTTTTACAATGGTGTTAACAAATGTCAATGTCTCATGCTGAACGTGAGAGGCATACTTATGTAGTTAAAGTGTGAGCTGCTTTTTTTTTCTTCCTCCTTTTCCTTTTTTTTTTTCTTTTTTTTTCCCATTACACCTCCACTTCATCTACACTTCCCCCAGAAAGCATCTGTTCTTTATTATTGTCTATAGCAGCAATTATTAACAAGCATGGAAAATGGAATTGCAAACTCTCTTTTACTTCTTGATCAGGAATTCATCGCCACACTTTGGGCAGGTGAATTCTGATTCAGCTCTAATTATCTGACAGATGTTACAAGCAGCTGCTACTGAGCAGAAAAGCCTGGCCATTATTACAGAAATATAAGAGCTGCTGGCAAGGTGGAGTGAGAAGTGAAACAGAATACATTCTGGTAAGGCCACACATCTGGTTTTCCACACACAAAGGGGAAAAAATTAAATACCTAAGTCTGAAACTCTGATTGCTGGTTCTTGAACTATTCAAAATCAATTTTCTTAAGTAAGAACAGCTTTATGTTTTCTCAGCAAGTAATGTTTACCACTGAAAAACAGCTTTGAAATTAAAATACTTTCACTTAATCATTTTTGAGGGCACCATGCTACCCAAAAAAAGCTCAATCTAAAAGTTAAGGTGCCAACTCTGCAGCCCTGTATGGATAAAGAGGAATGACATCAATATGGTCACACTTCAGTGCTTGTGCACTCTTGTTTCTCGAGGAAGACACCGAAGAGATTCAACTTGCTTATTTAAAATGCTGGTCCTTAAATTGCAAATCCTGCATGGTGGTGCACCACACGAGCTCTGAAATTACATCTATATAGCTGCATATCCCTCTCAGCAAATAGGAAGCATTACGATGAGGTAACGCTCCGTATCTCCACGTTTCTCAGGTGGGACATTACCCACACGTTTGCATCGTAGTATTTTTCTGGGATCCTGTACCGCTCCTGAAAGTATCAAAATTATGTAGGCCAAAAAAATATTGTCCTTATTCTTTCAAGACTCCTTTAGAAGTTACCAAAGGATGTGGTCTTTCAGTTCTTCGATGCTCAGAAGCCAGCTTCACTTTAAACTCTTATCAGGAGAATGCATCGAAGAACGTAAATATAAAATGAAAGACAAAAATCTTAAGTAAGAATATGAATAGCAACCGCCCCTTTTCTGTGGGATCATTCAGAAAGGGAATGTATTTTTCTCTGGAAAATCTGGATATGCACGTCTAAGAAAAGATTTTAGTATTTCCGATACATCTGCAAAAGAGTAAGACTACAAAACAAAACTTACAGTCACACAGCGTAAAATGCAGCAGCTACAAAAGGATAAGCACAAATAACAAACACATCTGTGTCTGATCACTCATAAAAGACTCTTCACAGAAGCAAGGTGCTCTAGCATCCGTGCATCCAAGCGGACGTACACACACGTGCACGCGCACGTACCAACTGACTTCAGCCGTGGCAACGGGAATTACAATACAGTTTGAAAGCCTACAGTAATGATCAACGTTACATTTCATCAACACTGACTCACGCGTATTCACTACAGCACTGGCAATAATGTAATCCATTTTACAAGCATATCCCACTATTTAAACAAGTTTGCATTAGATTATAATCCTGAACGCACGGCAGATATTGGGCAGACAATTAAACCTATCACCCAGGAGTGAAGACACTTTGCCTACCTGTTCCTGAAATGTCAGGTCTCTTCAAAGCTAGAATATTCCTGGGGAAGAACAGAATGCCCTGCAGTCCATTTGGAACTAACAAAACCCACGGTTATCTGCAACTGCACTGGGATTGAACTGACCCCGTTCAAGGCCACCCTCCTAAATAAGCAGAGGCTTCTATTACCAACAGCTCCATTAATCCCATTTGCAGATCTGATCCAATCCATGTTACCATGGGTCTAACAAAAACAGCAACCAGACTTTTGGAGCTGCAAACCCAGCATTGGTGTGTCTAGAGCACCGTCCACGAGTTCAGGAACAACCTCATTTCTATATGCTGCATGTGGGCAAAGTTAAATCCACAACCATGACAGCTAGAAAGAATTGTACTTCAAGGTAAAGTTAAAATTCTCAAAATTGAGTGAACTTCAGAAGTAGAAACTTTCTCATCGAGAAAGCAAATTTTTCAAAACTAGTACTAACTAGTGCAAGTTTAAAGCAGTACTCCCAAGAGCAGATATCTATGCACTAGAGCAACAACTCCTTTGTATGCATTAATAAAAACTTGCAAGTGACTTCACAAAACAGACTGTCGCTGCTGTTTGTCACAGATGTACCGAAAATGTTTTTAGTGTGACTTTTCTGCATTAACGTCATGTGTCATACTTTCCGTTTGGCAGTCAAAACCAAAATCCATTACAAAGTTCTCCATCAAATGAAATCACTTGTGCAACAGCCAGGACAGTCTACCCTTGAGAAACACAAACAGCTCAAGGAAATCCTTACTTTCTTTAGAAGAGTCATACTGTGAATGTAAAACTCTGACTAATCCCATTCCTTTAACAAAACCAGACAGGGCAGTAATGATGATGGTTACTCATGACAGTAATAACTTTTCTAAGAACATCCAAAGCCTCTCACACAAAGTGATTTTATCTTTCAAACTCATTAAGCTGTAATCTGAAGGTGAATTATCCATTTGAAGCTGTAGCTTACAGGTATATTCATGTTGTAAAACCAAACAAAATTTTAATTCAGAATACTTGCATAAATAATCAAATTTTGATTACTAGTCTCTTCCTACCATAAATTCATCACTTAGCTTCACCTACTTTATATCTGGTCCAATGAGTGAATGCCTCCTTAGCATAGCCCGGGCTTGTGCATTGGTTAAGTTAGTGGTTGACTCTTCATTAATGGACAGGATGCAGTCACCCACACCAATCCGTCCATCACGACTTATCGAGCCTCCATGGATGACACTGCGGACGATCATTCCTGAGCCATCTTTATTGGAACTTACTGTCATCCCTATAGTGAAAAACATATGAAACAGTTATTAATGTCTTAGAGCCCAAGCTTTGAGTGCCAAGGGAAAGAAATGTAACCTGGGACCGCAAAGGTGAAAGCCAGCCAGCTGATCTGCCAATGTCAGCAAGCTCTTATTCTCCCTTGCATTTCCTTCTTTCCAACAGGAGAGAGCAGTTACAAATAACAATCACAGTATCTTTACTCTACCTTGGGCCATTTCACTTACTGGGCTCGATATAAAGAAAAAGTGGAAAATTTAAGCAGAAAATAAACAAAAAAAGTAATGAAATTGCTTCTAAAACACTCATCTAGATGGTTCATTAGTTTATACTCCACATTTTGGTTTAGGCTATGATGGTTCCCTTTGGAAAAGAGGTGAAATGATTAAACAGTTCATTAGGAGCACAGGGCCCACACAACCACACACTTATTTTCAACAGAAAGCCTAAATCAGATCCTACTGGGATAATGTCTGTCTTCCCGCTCTCCTAGGTGGGCCACCACTTAAGTCCACAAGAGCATTCCGACTTCTGTGAGAGCCTGCACACTGTTGATGGACACAGTCTGCTACTGGAGTTACACCACGACCCCACCTGTGGCACAGCAGGACACTACTTCTCCATGTTTACACACACACCATTTAACTCCACTTATTTTTTAATAATGGGAAATGTGACAGTGATGCTCTTCGCCCTCCTCCCCCACGGGGACTTTATTTGTGTTGCTGGGCTTCACACGTCTTCGGGACCGTTCTTCCACGCGTGAGTTGTCACTGTTATTTACAGGGCAGCTGGTGCTCATGAAATCAACCCCGATGACAGTTCCAGGAAAAACTGTTCTTCACTAAGGAAACAGAAAGATAGCTGAAGGGCCAGCACCCTGGCAGTCCACTCCGTGGACTTCCTAATACTGATAAACTCGTTTTTATTCTTTTTTGTGTGTTAACATGGAAGCTTTCCTTTACTAACCAGATGAAGTCACTGAAGTAAGAGTGCCTTAGAGAGGAGCATCTATTGCAGAAGGAGGCAGTGACTACCCAACTACGTGTTCTCCTGGTTTTGCCTGTAAATACCAGGCTAGCAACCACTGTGAGTGCAGCTGTGTGTCTGCAAGCCCTTACCTTATTGTTCAGACTGTAAGAGGAAGGAAGATGATAGCTACCCAGAGCAAAACCTCCACGGACATTGACTATGAAAAAATTCTAACCATTTATATACAAAACTGGCTACGGAAGACAGAGACTGAACACTTTGTGACCTTAGACCTTGAGAGACACACTGGCTGAACAGAGTTTAGAGGGCAGCTAGAAGATGCAGGCTACCCAAACTCAGCCAACCATACGAACATCTGCCCACATACCTGTCTCAGAGGAAAAAATAAAATACTGTAACCATTTAAAGAACAACACTAAACCAGACACTCAGCTATGCTTTTTAGGACTCCCTCCAAAAAATAAAAATCTCTTAACAGTGTTGGCTGTTCACATCCGCTTGTAGTTGAGACCAACACAGCTGTCTAAAGCATGAGAAGGTGGCACTGATTAGCAAGGAACTGCCCAATAAGCTTCTTAGACACAGGAACGTATGCACCTCTCTGTTTCTGTATGTGGAAGTCAAGGTTTACCATTTGAAAGAACTGCAAAACTCATCTTCTTGATGGCACTTTATATTAAACTGATGAAAGAATAATATAGTGTTACCACTGACTGGAGATTTACATTAATGATTTGCCAACTCACGACATCAGCTGTGGACTGGCATAATTTAAACATGGTGTATCAGACTTGTGACACAGATGCACAATGGCACTAATTTATCACCTTGCTGTCAGAAAACGTAGGGTCAAGCTGCCTGTCACTTGCACCTTAGATTAGTGACGTTGCAATGTTGAGCACATCACAAACGGCGCTTACAGGTACCGTCCAGGGGGTGGTTCCCCCAGTGTTTACACTCACATGCTGCTCCTAACAACCATCTCTTGACAGGTCTGCTCACACAGGTTACTCGGTCAGATCTGCACGTAAACGCAACTCTGCAACAGAACACAGGCACCATGCACAGAAAAGCAAACGGCCAAGGAAACAGCTGAGATGTGGTGTGAAATTCCGAAGCTCACTTTGCTGTTTGACAACAGTAATCATGGAATCATGGAACGGTTAGGGTTGGAAGGGACCTCAAAGATCATCTAGTTCCAACCCCCCTGCCACGGGCAGGGACACCCTCCACTACACCAGGTTGCCCAAAGCCTCATCCAACCTGGCCTTGAACACTTCCAGGGATGGGGCATCCACAACTTCTCTGGTCAACCTGTTCCAGTGCCTCACCACCTTCAGAGGGAAGAATTTCTTCCTTATATTCAATCTAAATCTGTCCTCTTTCAGTTTAAAGCCATTGCCCCTTGTCCTATCACTACACACCCCTGGAAAAAGTCCCTCTCCAGCTTTCCTGTAGGCCCCCTTTAAGTACTGGAAGGCTGCAATAAGATCACCCCGGAGCCTTCTCTTATCCAGGCTGACCAGCCCCAACTCTCTCAGCCTGTCTTCAAAGCAGAGGTGCTCCAGCCCTCGCATCATCTTTGTGGCCTCCTCTGGACTCGTTCCAGCAGCTCCATGTCCTTCTTGTGCTGGAGACTCCAGAGCTGAACGCAGTATTCCAGGTGGGGTCTCATGAGAGCAGAGCAGAGGGGCAGAATCCCCTCCTTTAACCTGCTGCCCACGCTGCTTTTGATGCAGCCCAGGACACGGTTGGCTTTCTGGGCTGCCACTGCACATTGCTGGCTCATGTTGAGCTTCTCATCCACCAGCACTCCCAAATCCTTCTCCTCAGAGCTGCTCTCAATCCATTCTCTGCCCAGCCTGTACTTGTGCTTGGGAATGCCCTGACCCACGTGCAGGACCTTGCACTTGGCCTTGTTGAACTTCATGAGGTTCTCACAGGCCCATCTCTCCAGCCTGTACAGGTCCCTCTGGATGGCATCCCTTCCCTCCAGCGTGTCCACCACACCACACAGCTTGGTGCCATCTGCAAACTTGCTGAGGGTGCACTTGATCCCACTGTCCATGTCTCCAACAAAGATGTTAAATAGCACTGGTCCCAGTACCAACCCCTGAGGAACACCACTCGTCACAGGCCTCCACGTGGACATTGAACCGCTGACCACAACTCTTTGAGTGCGACCATCCAGCCAATTCCTTATCCACTGAGTGGTCCATCCATCAAAACCATGTCTCTCCAGTTTAGAGACAAGGATGTCATGTGGGACAGTATCAAATGCTTTGGAAAAGTCCAGGTAGATGATGTCAGTTGCTCTTCCCCTATCCATCAATGCTGTAACCTCATCCTTTCGTGTGTTTGCCAGTAACAAAGAACAGTGTTACTGAGGCTAGTGCAATAGCACTTCAGAAAAACATCACCCTTGGTTTCTATGCTGACAGCCTCATCACAACAGATCTCAAGGCTGATGTCACACTTTGGACAGCTACAGGTTCGGGTTAAAAATGGAGACGCCATTGTTGAGTTGCCAAATGAATCACAATGGACAAGGACATTTCAGCTCTTCTTGCATGTGGGTGCTCAGTCCTCTTATCTTTTAAAAATCACAATCAAAAGGTTAGAGCTCCAGCTGTGGCTGGATTTGAAGAGCTGCTGCAAGCTATGAGTGACACCATTGTAAAGGAAAAAAGAAGTGCCAGTTCTCAGCTGAAATAACTGATGCAGCTGCAGCTTTCAACATCATTCACAGCTCTTGATTTAGTCCCTTTTGTAAAAATGGAAGTTAAAAGCAGTGCAGCCATGTGTGTAAATTGGTCACCGTGCCCAGCTGGCCTCCCAGGACAGAGCGCACACAAAAAAGACTCCAGCCAAAAGCCAGGAGAAGGCATTATTCATATTCATACTATGCATACATGAGAGGCCAGACTTTCTTTCCATGCCTGTAACGTTTGCCCATGTGCTCCCTGCCTCAAGTTTCTATTTTTATGCTGTATTACGCTTGACATGAAGTTTGCTTTTTGTATGTTCACTGCACTTAAAATACTCATAGACATACATGAAAAACACTGCTCTGTTGAGTTAAGAAGTTCCTGCAAACACAACTTTTTTAACAAAATCCGAATGCCTGGAGCTGCACTGTGACCTATACCTTATACAGCCTGGCAATGAGGCCAGTAAAGCCAGTAGTTACCCAAGCTCCTCACACCAAAGAAAGTCAAAACTTAGACCCACATTAGCCTTGCCTACAGCTTTATATTATGGGGAGCTTGATTTTAAATCAGGTAAGTTCCTGATCCAGTTTGGAGGCTGGCTGTCTCACGAAGGAGAAGGCGACATGGGGCAGACTGAGTATCCAGCCATCACAGGGCTGTTCATTCCAGGTGAAAGCGCCCGTTGAACCACAGCATCACAGCACCTTGCCCACCTCGGGAGTCCTGAGCGGTGGCTGCTCATGAACAAGGGGCCCAGGGGCTGCTTTCAGAGTCCTTCTGTGAACAACCCCTCTTAAAGCACTCATGGAGTCACTGCAATCAGCCAGTGCCTGTGCAAACTCCCGCCCTACCAACACCAGAGTCTTCAAGGACATGCAGTTGGCTGGAAGAAACCGCACCAGGAACCTAAACCAAAGCAAATGAACACACTGGCCACGAATGGGAGGGGAGCTCCACTGCCTCCCACGACAATGCCTCCCTCGTGCTTGGGAACTGGCCTAGGAGGATGCTCTCACTGCCCAAGGCTGCACCAGAGACCAGGAGAGGACAGCAAAAAAACGTTTCCACCTGTTGTGCCTGTTCGCCCCACAACGTGCCTCCAGTCAGCATGCTCAGGAAATTGCAGATTGCAGAGGTATAAAATTATGATATTCTCTACAAAATGACAATATCATTGAGCTAAAAATACCACCTATTAAATTTGTCAATGATCTGATTTTCAGAAACACTGAGGCACTTACGATAGAAGTAAAAATATGTGGCAAGGAAGTGAAGAGCTTGTTTAGATCCTTTTGACCATCCTCAAAAAGGAAGATCATTTCATGTTCACAAAAATTTGAAAGCTTAGTCTGCAGCTCTTTGACCAAAGCGGTGTTCTACAGCATTCCTTGGCTACATCTCACTTTTCCACTGTATTATATAAATGTATAGACATTAAAAACCAACATATTACAATTCTGCTATTAACATTTAGGAATGACTAAACTACTTTATGGGGTAAATAAAAGTGTCTCAATGAGACTGGACACTTTACTTTTGGGTTCTTGGTGACAGCTGTCATCATAGCCAAACAGAGCAAGAGCAGCAAAGAATGAATATCCTGTTATGATTTCCCCACTAAACGGACAATGTTTAGTCTTTACAAATAACACAGTAAACATATGAGAAAAACAGAAAGCCATGTTCTTGATCAGGTTACGAAAAACATTAGCTACCTCACCTAGACTCGAGTTGCCTTTTGCGATAGTGATAGTCTTCTCATATATGTTTTTCACTGGATTTGGGGTTGTGGAACTTCCCTCCAAAGACACTGGGCATCTCTTTTCCATTAAAAGCACTTGATCCTAACACAAGGGAAAATAACATCAGCTGAGAACACCAAGATAAAAATACGATTCAACGTACTGTCCTGAACGCATATTACCTATACACAAAAGCTAGGTGCGTAATTAATACCAACTCCTTACACAGACATTGAAAAAGTCAGACCATCAAAGATCAAACCAACACACATGAGGTTTCTGTTTTCATTCAGGTAACACGGCCAATCTACCACAAAGTATGCTTTTAATTTAGGGACATCAGCTACACTCTTAAAATTAGCAGGATGAATCCAAGGGCTCTCAGACTCGTTCACCACAGATGTCTGACAACCTGTCAGTGCTAAAGTAACAACTCCTGTAAGAAATGGCAGCTCTTTTAAGAATTTCTTAATAAACCACCGAATGAAAGAAAAAAGAAACACGTCACAGTGGCTGTCATATAATGGACAATTATGTTTGCACACCGGTATCACAGGCCAGTGTGTGAGCAAGCTTGCATGAACACCAGGATGTAAGGCTTTCACACCACTCCCCCTTGGCTCTCCAGGCCTGATTTCCAGCTGTGCACCTCCTCCTTACGCCCATGCCTCTGCAGAGGTTAACAGGGGCTAAGACAAGCCCCGTGGTCTGCCCAACACATACACTGTAGTCCAGCAGTGTCTACTGCTGTGGGGTATGCATAGACTTTTATAGACTCCTGCATCACCAGTCTCTGGGAGATTACTATCTTGACACCATAAATTATCTCCTGGTTTGGATAGGTTTAAATCCTTATGTTTAGATGTGAGCCACCACATCTGACAGACTTTTATAATTAAAGAACCATATATGGGTGTTGGTGAGTGTTCTAGCAGATTCTACGGTTTAATATGGCCTTTCTGTAGTTTTTTCACTTATTATTTAAAAAAAAAAAAAAATCTTTACTTTTTCAGTGGGATGAAGCTGCCCGGTAGCAGCAAGGCTTGTACTTAGTGCAATTTCTGCTGCTGTCTGAGATCCAGTCCACGTTGCTGTGTTTTCACCTTCCTTTTGGCTGATATCCGAAACATCCAGAGGAAGAAGATCCTTCTTAGTAAAATCAGTTGCAGGTTCCAGGCTACTGTCCACTACAGACGTTTGCTCTCTCCCTCTCTGATTCTGATCCATGTTGTACAGATTCTTGTCAGACACATGGAAATCCGCTGCAGCATTTGAACATTCCTCTCCAACAGACTGTTAAACATAGGAGACAACAGACAATTATCATGTTTGGGAGCATAATTTAGAAGTACATTTCATGCTAAAATCTTGAACAGAAACTAATCTCACAGAATTTAAACATATTTGTTGTAACACCAGTGTCTTCAGTAGATCCCTACAGGCATTTTACTATAAAATTTACTTGATTCCTCCAACAATTTCTTCTGCTTTTCAATACCAGAAATCAATGAAAACAAAGTTACTGCTGAAGGCCAAATTCTAACTTGGTACTCATCAATAAATCTCCACTAAATTCAGCAAAGTAGCATTCTCTAAGCCATTCTCAGACTAGATATAAGTCCAGCAAGTTATTAAAATTAAAGCATCCAAATGTCTTTCTCAGGCAGAAGAACTTTGCAAGACCAAGGTGTTTACTTTCAAAGCAATTAGCAAGCAAAGAGCAATTTCAAACAGCTCAGACAATAAGCATGCAATCTAATAATCCATTTAACTGCGTAGAAACATATTTAGATATCCTTTCTGCACAAAGAGGGTAAAGTAACTCGATCAAATCTCAGCAAAAAATGAACGTGGAGATTTTGAACTGTGACAACTATGAAATACAATGATGCAGTTGCAGAAGTTTAGCACTTATTGCAAGTGTACCGATTATGGCTGCAGTACTGGGATTAAGTTCTCTACCCAAAATTTGTTCAGACTTCCACAATTCCAGGGTCCTCCATTTCAACTATTTTAACGGATTTCAATAATCACAACCTTCAGAAAAAAAAAAAAATCTTCAGGTATTGTCTATCTGAGCTTCCCAAGAAGTAATTTTAAAAACATATATGCCCTTAGATATTTGAAAGATGTATCAAGGACTTAAGAGGTTGGACTTAGAGGCTCTGTATCAATATTAAGGACTTTTATCTGACATGTAGCAAATGCAGTCACAAGAACTGCTACCTCCATCTCTTAGTTGTTATCCATTAGTGCTACTAATTCTTCTACTCCTTTCCCCAAAACTGGGGAAAACATGTTTCGCAGGATTTTGGGATATTTTGCAGCATTTGATGCTTAGAATTAGCTTTTCTCATCTTTCATAAAGTGCATACATGCTTGTTCTGTCCCCAGACAATCATCAAAAAAGGTTCACCTGTAAATAATTGGGTTAAGTAACATCTGAGAAGATAATTGAGCAAAGCCTAAATACAGCTAATCTGCATGATGTAATCAATGAAACAATTTACTGCCTTTTGGAGGCAGAACACCAGGACTATAATCTATTTAAATTATTTCATTAGGTTTCAAAGAAAGCTGGGACATCTACTTTTAAGTCTGTTTTGTAGCCATTTCCAAATCAGTGGAAACAAGATCCAGACCATACTCAACGTTTATTCCATATGCCATATATACATACTAGAGTTGCAGCATATGTCCATTTTTACTGTTTCACTTTAAAAAAAGCCAATGCTGTAATGTTTGAATGCAAACAAGATTTCAGGAATTTGTAACTGTAGCAACGTGTGACCCCATTAGAGCATTTGCACTACTTTAAGGGTTTTTTTTCATCACTTGTTTTTAAAGTGAAACCAAAGGTGTTCAGAATCTGCCAACTGTCCCGCAATTAGAAACAGCTGAAATACCTCTGCATTCCTCTTAGCATCTAAAAGCAATTTTTTCATTTTTACTGCATTTCACTTCCTTCAAAAGTTTTATAAATAGATTTTCTCGCTATGTTTGTGAAATCACTCATAACTGTACAGTATAAAATGTCACTTCATGAGAACTTAATACTCACTTCATACTGGTGCACAGAGAGGAACACTGGAAAGTCAGGACCATAATCTTTAAAAGTTAAACATGTAAACTGGAGCCATCTTCAAGTCAATGCTGAAAATAACTTAAGACTTTCTAGAGCCTCAATGTGACCTATAATGTAAATCCAGTCTCTATCTCATAAAACGCTTCTTAGCATGCAAAATGCATAATCCATTTACGTAACAATTACAGAGTTAAACAATGCAATCTGTCCCACTGGCACAGCAGAGATGTGCTCTTCTGTGGATTAGGAGAAACCATTAGAAGATGAATTTAGCTTTCCAACCAGTGCCTTGTAAGGGCTGAACATATTGCAGAAAGGATGAAGTGAGTTACTGCAGCTCAGGTGTGGAGGAAAAAGCAGCAACTACTCTATTCAAGACCACAGACTGCAAACACTGGAAGAAATCCCTACAATGTTGCTTTCAAACACCTTTGACTGCTAGGAGAAATGACTGCTAGGAGAAATTACTTGGAAGACTCTGGATTAGCGGAATAAATCTATAGATTGCCATGAAAAAGGAGCATGAAAAATCATGGAGAGAATCAAAACACCAACTCCAATACAAAAAATCAAGTTATTATGGGTATGTGACCACCAAGAAAAAAGATACTGATCTTTGTGTTACTCTTAAAGAATTTATTGTCATTTATTGACTTTAAATAGAAATTATTAGTAATCAGAGGTTTGATATCTCTAGATTTACTTTTAATTACGGTATCATTATGAACATTTCATTCAAGAGTTCAGTAAAAGAATCAGCAAACATACTAACTATGAAGCAGAAAAGCAAAGCTTCGGATGAAAACTCAACTCCTGGCTTTCCATACCTAAAATACTGTTGAATAATTAAGTTATTTTGTGTTACCGCTCTTTACTACGCTCTGAAGTAACAATAAATTTCTGTAGCAGACTGCTCACCATAGCTTTAACCCTACAAACATCTAACCATACTCTATCCAGCTATACAAAACACAGATCTAAGCTTTCAACCTTCTAGCTGCCTCTCTCTTCAACACAGGTGTCTGAAAGACACCAGCACCACCCTAAGCAAAACTCCACTTTAATCTGGTAACAAACAGCGCGGTTTGAACCGGGATGACACAACGCATTCGTATCTAACAATAAATACAGCCTTTTAAAACTTACAATCAACGCCTGCCATCAACAGAACCATCCTTTTTACCTTGGGAGCTGCTAATGGAAGAGAGAAGCTGTAGCTCAGCTCGCTGCCACAGGCGTTGCCATGCAGAGCTATCATTGAAGCCTGGAAGACGTCACTCTCCGGAGAATACTGCGACTCAAACGTGGACTCATCCGCGAGATCTGCCTCACTGGAGTCCACCTAACAAGAAAAGCAATTCAATCAGCCAGGCTAGCTGTTACCCTCACACCACATAAGCCCCGAGCACATGCACCTCAGCCGCTACACACTGACTGACACTTCCCTTCTTTCTTTTTTCCCCCTTCCATGTTTTACATTGAAGTTATATTTGCATAGCATATTTCTGATTCCAGTTACAATTCATGCTGCTACATCTTCAGAGATTGAGAAAAACATCTGAAGTAAAGTGAGAGTCTCAACTGGAATGAGTTGCAGGGCTAAGGCAGGCTGATGCCCGTTAATAGAAGTATGAGGCATTGGGAGAACTCTGCTGTAGTCCCTAGCATCAAAATTTTGATTTGTTGAGGGCATTTTTTTTTTTCTTTTTGATTTTCTTTTACAAGAATAAGCACTGAAAAAAAGAACGAGCTTCTTTTAGTGCCACCTGTCAAGAATGTTCCCGCTACTCAACTTCATAGATTTGGTTGTTTTTAAAAGGATACAAGAAATAATCTTTTGGAAACTGGAATGCTTTTCAATACATTTCTAAGAAATATTTATCATATTATTTTTTATGATATACAAAATATTTTACATTTGACAACAAGATTAACATGGACAATTCTCCTGACTTACATGAGAAATAACATTTTAAAAAGAGTTCCAGTCATGGGCATGGGCAGTACTTTTTGCTTTCTTTCTCCTTAAATGAAATGTAATTTTTTTCAAGATTCATATACTTTCAAACACTATAATAAAATTAAGTCCTAAAAGACTGAATTTATGGTGGTCCACATACTACTACACTTTGATTATAATTTTATCTGCCTTGGCAGAGTGCCAGAAAGCAGTGTATGCTAACAAAAATTATCAGTGAGAGCCAGGACCATACCGTAAACTTGTATGAAGCAGCCAAGTGCACCCATCTGCAGAGATGGGATTTGAGGGCTGTTTTCCAGCCTCTGTGGTTAATCACACTATGAACTCATTATGTCAGATTCACAACAGCAAACAGCAACAATCTGCAGTGATTCAACACACTGATGCCTTTTTGGGGTACAAGTGATCCATTTTTTGTTGCCTCAACCTTGAAGACTTAACAGCTAATTCAAACTGCTCCTTTGGTGTAACTTACTTTCAGCCCATCTTGTGGGAAATGCAGACGAGCGTTACTGGAGCTACACTGCAAAAAACAGGGACGGACCTGCAGAATCTGAGTGCAGATTTATCTATGAAAAACAGTATCTCACGAGTTCGTTCTGCAAATGCATCTTCAGCTGGGTGGCGGCACATTCAGTTCCATAGTTTGCACATTCAGACAGCTGACAGAGTTGATGATTTAACCATATTATTACCTGTCATAATATTTTCATTGTTCTTCCACAATTTTTTTTTTGTATGAATCACAGCTAGAACTCAAATTTTTAAATACTGAAGTTTTAATCTGATCCTTTCAACACATCTTTAATTGAAGGATATTTACAATATATAACCTGGCTTCTTCGTACTTCTTCTCAATGAATACAATAAGGTAAGTCCTATTATCTAACTACTGTACCAAGTTAACAAACTGCAGAAATAAAAACAGGTAGTCTTGTTTAAAAGCAAGTTATTAAAATCAGCTTGTCATTTGCAAATGGGAAAAAACAGCAAACATACGAGAATCAGTAATTCAGAGATTTTTGCCTTGGAAGAATCCATTTCAGATTTTTGCTTGATCTTGTTTTTTTTTTTCTAATTAATTCAGTTCTAGTATTTAGTAGAAACTGCTTCCCTACTCATGTCCCCAAAAATGAGGGCCAGCTAACTTCAGTACCAGTCCCAGATCAGTGCAAATAACCATGAGAGACACACCCAGAATATATTTATATTCCGGTTTTGGGGTGGGGTTTTTTTTGGTTTGGGTTTTTTTTTGTCCAGTCCTATTTCCTTTGTCTTTTTTTAGCTGAGTTCTTATTGGTAACTTCTGGGCTATGTAAGGCACTGAATGCTCAGGTCAGCCACATCGTTTACACAAATAAACACCTTTTGACCCTGCAAATCTCATAATCACTGATTGATGCTGAAGTCTAAGGAATACTATTAGGAGGAAGCATTGGCAGCTTTTGAAGACAGACAGCATTCCTTTTAAGGCTGGCTTACATGCAAAAAGAGAGTTCCAAAAACTTTTCAAGGTAGAGAAGTGATATATTCTGATATACAGATGAAGAGATTCATTTACAAAATAAGCACATGAATACTTCTCTACACCAGGTGAGATTTTCAAAGGGATACTCGGTGCATGCAAGAAATGGTTAGCCATGCACTTTTGAAAATCTCAGTAAAGTACTTCCTTTTTTTCCAGCAACTAACATATCACAGGCCAGATTCATAGCTCATGCAAACAGCCAAAATCTCCAAGATGCCAGTTTCTACCATGTGGGGATCCATCCCAGCTATGGCGGATGAGTAATGTGGTGACAGTAAACACTAAAAAATAAGCATGAACAGTGACAAAGCAACCTCTTTCATGACAAAATGCAAAGACTTAAGAAATCTTCGGTAAGTTGGGCCACTAACCAGAGCCAGCTCAGCACGGAAGAGGGCTGCATCAGCTGGCCCCTCCTCCTCATGTGACTGGGCAGTGTAGAAAAAGCAATCTTCCTTAGCAGAGACATAGCCCTCCTCTGGTGAAAGCTGCAGAAAGAACGAAGCTCTGAGTTGGATGAGTGGCCAGGACGCAGGGCGTGCAGAGCGCGTTACGTGTGGGCGTTCAGAGAGGCACACGAACCCCAAATGCAGCACAGAGCTCATTTCAATCACAGTCACAGTGCTGGGTAGGTAGACAGACAAGGTTTTTTTTTCAGATTTACCTGAACTGATACTGATTCAGCTTCACATCTCATTTTACACCCCAAGTAACGAAAAGGCCTGTCCAGCTATATCACAGAGCCCACAGCTTCATCTAAACTCATTTTTAATTTCTGTTCTTAGTAAACAAATACTAAAACTGCCAACAGACCTGCCAGCAGGGAGAGTCTAACTGCAGAGGCCTTTACAACCTCGCTATCGGCACAGTAATCTTGTTAGAAGGCAGGAAGACTGCATCCCCTGTCTGTGTTTTAAGACTGCAGTTGTTGAGTGGAACAGCCTCAAGAGGACAACACATAATTCTGGCTATAAACCAGTAGCTTTTTCCAACATAATTTGATGCTAGGTGCGTTCGTTCAGTACCGCAAAAAAGCCAGTGGTTATTCACAATGTTTAATTGATCGGCAAGCATAATATGTGAAATATTAAAGGGCAAGTGTTGAACGTTTACAAAATGCTGGAAACAGAAACAAAACCCGCATGTGTTTTCTCTTCTAGAGTGACATCTTCTTAAGTATGAAAACGCTGATTTGCAAGACATTATACTGTGCAACACAGAGTCCCCACTACAAAAAAATAATGTCACAAAGTTAAAAAAGTACCCTCTTACTACGAAAAGGAAAGTTTCTAGTAACTTAAACATCAGCCATTCCCTCCCACCTCTCCACAAAGATCCATTAAGAATGAAAATTTAGTATCCGCACCCACAAGGTTTACAGGATTGTAATTTCACTAAAAGAAAAAATGAACCCCAAAGTCTGCACTGGGGCTTACAAATACAGTGAAATGTATCTTCCTTGTGTGTATAATCTGATGCCATTCTTCTGATTTGAATTTAACAAACTACTAGTCCACTAGTATCTTTACCGACACACTATCTCGGTAACTCTAGGTCTCCTTCAACCTAATTATTCTAATTGTTACAGCCTACTTTCTAAAATCAAGCCTGAAATTTTCATCAATATACTAAAATAACCAGCTTGAGGTGCATAAACTGAAGACTACTTACCATTCTTTAAACATAAAGTGCAGAGTCTAAATACAAAGACTGCACAAGTAACTTGTAAAGCAAAGGCATAGACAAATTCCAAGCAAACCACGAAAAACTGACTTTATGTCACCATCTCACACATTCAGAGAATCTTCTGAAGTGCATAAAATCATGCCTGGCAACTTGCAGGCCTGAAATACTGTGCTGGTTGCAAGACGCTTCGCTGTATTCTCAGCTGCAAGACAGGTGTGCAAGGTCCTGCAATCACCACACCAGTCATATACTACACAGGCCACTCCTACGTGCAAGCAGACACAGGAATCTGTTAAAAGACAGTTTCTGGATGTTTTGAGTGACCCAGCTGTACCCCAAAGCACACAAAGTGCAAGCAGAAATCAAGATCATCATGTACCAGCTTAAATGACATGAAAAGCACCCACTGAATTCCCAAATCCTTACAGGGAGTGGTTTGGCAACTCCTATTTTAACTGTTCCTGCTGGGGCTCCTTTCAGTGCTTGTACTGCTTCCTCCAGGCTGCTATTTTCCAAGTTGATGTCGTTGACAAACATGAGCCTATCTCCGGGAAGAAGTCTGCCATCTTGCTCGGCCACACCCCCAGGAACTAATGAACGAATCACAATCACAGTGTTGGCTGGATCAACAGGATCCTAATTAAACAAAAGGAAGAAAAACATTTCATTTTGTTTACTCTTTTATGTCGAGAGGTTAAGTTTTATGCAGAGTTGGGTTATTAAAAAAGCTGGAGCTCTGCTCCAGATGAACCCTCAGCAGGACAATACCCTCTTGTCCATACTGCCCATACACTTAGACTTCCACCTATTTCTAGTTCTTAAATGAAAAAATTATTACTTCTTTCTGTGTGACGCCCCATCACACATCTCAAGCATAAAATACTGCTAAACTGCAGAGTGCTCTTCGTACTGTTGTGAGTAATCACGCACCAGAAATGCAAATACTTCCTACAGCAATGACAGCACCGCAGAACTCATCCTCCTTTACACCCAGTGGTTCGGGAATACAGCTGGGCAGCGCAGCCCAGGGCAAAGTTAACATGTGCATTCTGGTGGAACAAAGGGCTTATTTTCAATAACTCTCTTATACTTTATGGCACCAGATCTTGCTCAGCTGAGAAAGCACTTTTTAAGAGGCAAGTCCTTGTGCATGCCTAATTAAACACTTTATGGGAGACAGGAACATACCAGTATAGCACTCTAATCAACAAGACACAAAAAAAGTGGTGCTCACTTTCAAAAAAGGAAACAGCTTTGAAGTCTCCATCCTTCAATGCACTAATTTTTATAAAAATGCCAGCATCAAATACTCAGAACAAGAACGTGTAATTCCGTTACAAAAATTATCACAGGTGCACACATTTGCATGATTCTTACAGAATTACACTCACAAGGAACATCATTACATGTTAATACTTCCAACACATGGCAATTCCCTTGAGTGAGTGCACAGGAAAAAAAGAGAAATGTAATAATGTACCAGCTTTACTGAGAGTGAAAGGAAGAGAAAAACAACCATCCACAAACTGGCATGCAACTGTAACAAACTTCCATGCCAAGATGTACATCTGAAAGGATGCACACCATTAAGACAGCACCCAAAATCACAGGACTTGGAATCATAGAATGGTTTAGGTTGGAAGGGACCTCAAAGATCATCTAGTTCCAACCCCCCTGCCACGGGCAGGGACACCTTCCACCACACCAGGTTGCTCAAAGCCTCATCAAACCTGGCCTTGAACACTGCCAGGGATGGGGCAGCCACAGCTTCTCTGGGCAACCTGTGCCAGTGCCTCACCACCCTCTGAGTGAAGAACTTCTTCCTTATATCCAATCTAAATTTGCCCTCTTTCACTTTAAAGCCATTGCCCCTTGTCATGTCACCATATATCCTTGTAAAACGTCCCCCTCCAGCTTTCCTGTAGGCCCCCTTTAGGAACTGGAAGGCTCCAATAACATCACCCTGGAGCTAATGTGAGAGAGAGGCGTTGCAGGAGGGATAGAGGGAAGGACACTAAGAAAATCCTTAACACTTCATGGTGGTTAATGCAGTAAGGAAAATGCCATGGAGCAATAAAACATTGCACAAGGAGAAACACAAACAGCATTGCTGGAGATAGTGCTTAAGCCTGAACACTGACATCTTCCTCGCTATTTTAACAAGTACTTACACTGCCACTTTAGATGACACTGCATGACACATTTTTTGAGGAAAAAAAAAAACAACAAACACCTCTCTATTGTATGTCGACTTTCCTACAGGCCTGGCATTGTATAAAACACAAGGAATCTATTAGTATGAACGTAGCAGTCCTTAACTTTAGTCACTATTTATTGAAATTAATTGAAAATTTAATGGAAAAAGCAAAATACAAAGCTAAATCTCACTGTAAACTCATTGTTCACAGTCTTCAATGAAAGCAGAAACTTCAGTGACAAAAAATAAAAAGCAAAATACAAAGCTAAATCTCACTGTTCGCAGTCTTAAATGAAAGCAGAAACTTCAGTGACAAAAAAACGTTTTAACGTCTCAAAGAAAAGAACACAGGACAAATCACAAATATTGTAACATCAAAGAAAAGGTAAGTTTCAGAAAGCTGACTACAGCTGTAGGATACAATCCAGCTCACATTTGTAAAATATATAAAACAATTTAAGGTACTTTCCATAACCCATCAGTATTGCCTTTGTGCTGGTTTTGGCTGGGATGGAGCTAATTTTCTTCGCAGCAGCTAGTATGGGGCTATGTTTTGGATCTGTGCTGGAAACAGTGTTGGTAACACAGGGACGTTTTCGTTCTTGCTGAGCAGGGCTACACAGAGTCAGGGCCCTTCTGCTCCTCACCCCACCCCACCAGCGAGGAGGCTGGGGGTGCACAGGAGTTGGGAGGGGACACAGCTGGGACAGCTGTCCCCAACTGACCAAAGGGATATTCCACACCATATGAGGTCATGCCCAGCATATAAAGCTGGGGGAAGAAGAAAGAAGGGGGGATGTTTGGAGTGATGGCGTTTGTCTTCCCAAGTAACTGTTACGCTTGACAGAGCCCGGCTTCCCTGGAGATGGCTG